CCTTCGCTGGTCAAGCCTACCCCTCAGGTTACCTCCTAGCTCAGAATGTCCTCTTTGCCTGTAGACCTGTTGCCTCCATGGGCGCTGCCTGGGCCTTAGGAATGCACTATCGGAGCAACTGGATAGTGAGAACTGCTGAAGTGACGTCAGTGATCCTATGGAATCTAGGAGTGTAGGTCTTGCCTCACCTGGCTGCTGCTACCCTCGTTGATATTGTTCCATTCAGGTTCATAACGTTGTACCTTTCCTATGCTCCGGTTGAGGATCTTCCTCTGGTCGGTCAGTCTTCTGGTACTGCCTTTTTCACTGTAGTCACCGTAGTGGGCGGGGCGACCATCGCCTTCACCAAATCAGCGACTATGCTACGCCTGAAGCCCTACAACAAGGAGGGTGTTCTCAAGCATGCGGGCATCTGTATGCAGTTCGGTTCTATGGTCGGCGCAGTTACCTGTGCATTAATCGCCAACCTGGTGAAGCCACCTACTCACTGATCTCTCTTTCGAATCCCCGTATAGTTTGTTACATTTACTCGAGTTACTAGCTAAGAGAGTCTTCGATTGTTGTTAATCTGAGAGTATACACGCTAGGAAAGCCATGAACTTCACAGTGCATCTTACCACTATATCTCATGGATACATAACCAGAGCAATCAGGCTCACGACGATGTTAATTGCCATGCTGAATGCCAGGCGGGATCCTTCTCGCCGCATTGTTTGGAGGACTTGGAGGCGTCATTCTCATTTTGTTTCATTCTCTTCTGGGCTTGCATTATCCTGCGGAGAGTACATGTCGTCAGCATATTTTCATCTTTTAAAGTTACACGAAGTTGCAATGAGCAGCAATACCCAGCGTTTGCCGCCAGATGCGACCATTCAGAAACGTGTAAAAACGGACGAGGGATATGCCGCGTTGGAGAGATACACGAATGGAATGAGTGAGGCGTGTCCTTCGTGGCCGATGGATCAATAATGGCCACTTCAGGAAAGGCAGCGATGACTGCATCATGGTTCGAAGGTAAGAATAAGAACGACTTCGCAGAGAACGAAAAACGGAACAATGATTTGTGAGATTGAAGGAGAGACGTAAGGTCGTATCAACTCAACGTTGCTGTAGTATCGCCGAGGAGCTCCGCTGTGCCAACCTCGAGTTGTTGCTGAGACGAAGACACAGGATGAAGCTTCTGTAGGAGCATAGCCCTAACGCTACGAAGAAGTCTTCTGTTAGATACGAGAGTGATGC